TCCTAGTCTCCTACTGGGAGCACCTGGCAAAACCGGAGCACCCAACTGGGTCTGCCCAGCCCAGCCCACTGTTTTGTGGTGGGCACAGAGCATTGGGGAGGGCAGTAGTAAGTCAGGAGGAAATGACAAAGAGCACGGGGCTGGTGTCGGCCCTTAAAGAGCTCCCGGTCTGGAGCAGATGGAGGTCAGATACACCCAAAACCAGATAGAGGCAGGGTAGCATGGAGGTCAGTGGAGAGGCCTCCAGGTTCCCAAGGAGGTGGCTGACCACTGGGTCCCTGCAGCATTCATGACTGCTTTGTGCCAAATGACTTTGAACCTACGGGTGTTGCTTTGATGTTGTTTTGTATCTTTAAGATGTGATTTTGTATATATACAATGCCTTCCAGTTAGATTGTAAGGCCTTTGGAGGCAGAGATCCTTCCCGTTCTTCCATGGTATTCTCTTATCTACTTTCCCTCATGTGTCTTGTCTAGCACAGTGCTCTGCATATAGTAAGCACTCAATAAATACTCATTGGATCAGAGAATTTGCTGGTAAGTGCCATTTCTTCCATAACTTGGAAATGGTCAACACAGTTCAAGGTGCCAGAAGACAGACTGGTACATCATGAGTTCCCCAGCCCAGAGCCACTGTTAGGAATGGTGCACAGGGGATTTCAATACTGCATAAGAAGCTGAACTAGGAGGCTGTGGGGACAAATGCCATTGCCTTTGAAGGAACCCCCAACCTGGCCAAAATGGGCATCCCAGGCTTTGTGATGCAGGTAGCACCATGGAGAGGGCCTCCAGAGCGCAGAGAACATTTCCTTTTGGTCCTCCTCTCCCCCACCCCCCACACTGGCTGCAGCACTGTGTTGGGAAGTCACGATCAGGACCTCCAGGGTCTCGGACAACACCTAACACTCAACATATCCAAAACGGACCTGATCTTCCCCCAAAACCTGTTCCTCCCACAGTCCTCCTCCTCTCAGTTAATGGCAACTCTTAATCTTTCCAGTTGCTCAGGCCAAAAAACTTGAAGTCATCCTTGGCTCCTTGTTCTCTCACAATCCACGAGAGATCCATCAGGAAATCCATCAAAATGGTTCCAGAATCCCATCACTGTCACCACCTTCCTTGCCTCCATCAGGTCCAGGCTACCATCATCTCTCCCTCAGTTACTGCAATAGGCACCAGATCAGCCCCTACAGTCTCGGTCCCAGTGCAGCAGTACAGTGATCGTGTTAACAACTTTGTCAGACCACATCAGTCCTCTGCTTAATGGCTTCCTGTTTCTCTCAAAGTAAAGCCTACAATCTTCACAGTGGAGCACTAGGCCCTATAGGATCTGCCCACCTCCACTACCTCTCTGTCCTCACCTCCCATACTCTCCTCCTTGTTCACTCTGCTCCAGCAACACTGGCTGTTCCATCTGCCTGGGATGTTCTTCCCCCTGATACCTGCATGGTTCCTCCCCTCTCCTCCTTCAAGTCTTTGTCCAGATGTCACTTTCTCAATAAGATCCTGACACCTCATTTAAAATTGCATAGACACCCCCCTACTCCTACCATAGCATACTCAGTCTTCCTTAACATACTTTATTTTTTTCCATAGCATTTACCAGATTCTGTCGTACTATATAATTCACATATGTCCATTGATTATTGTCTCCTTTCACTAGAATATAAGCTCCACAAGGGCAGAGATTTTTGTCTGTTTAGCTCACAGCTGTATCCTCAGTGCCTAGAACAGTATTTGGTACATAGTGTGTGCTCAGTAAATCTTTGTAGAATGAATGGCTCTTTCCCAACATTGGGGATACGTGGAGCTCTGAAGGCATCACTTGCTCCCAATGATCCTATCATTTCTTCTCCCAGCCCAGAGGCCCTGACTTCAATTTCTCCCAGGGAATTCAGGGGTCCCTATATCAGGAAAGGAGTCCTGGTAGTGCAGTGGTTAAACACTCAACTGCTAACCAAAAAGGTCTGCGGTTCAAATCCACTGCCCCTCCGCAGGAGAAAGATGTGCTAGTCTACTTCTGTAAAGATTACATTCTTGGAAACCTTACGGGGCAGTTCTACTCTGTGCTATGGGGTTGTTATGGGTCTGAATTTTGACATCAGGAGAGAAAGGGAAGGGGCTCTCCTGAAAAACTCCAATCCCCTCTGCCACAAATGAGAAGACCCCTCCCCCAGCCCAGGAAATCCCAGGGAGTCATTCCTCCGGGACTGGTAGGGCAAGGCAGAGTGCTTGGGGCAAAGACAATTCCAGAGATAGTAGATCCAGTAGCTTCTTGCGACAAGCTGGGGACAGAGTGACCCTGATGTTTATAGAGAGATGGCAGGGGCCTCAGGCACAGAGCTGGAAAACATAAGCAGCTTTCCCTCTGAGTAGCATCCACAGATCAGGTCTCCTTCAGCTGCTGCAGGTCCACTCTTTGTGACCAAGCCTGCAGTTGTCAGCCCACGGTTCCCGTTTCAGAGCTGCCACTCACTGTGTGACCTTGGGCAAGGCAATAACCTCTGTCGAGTCTGAGTTTCCCCACAGGTAGCTTGCAATTATAGACCACACACTGGGGGCCAAAGACCTTTGTTAGCTGTAGAGGACTGAATTCAAATCCTTGGTGACCCAGCCTCCTGTGAGCACCACCCAGTCCTTCCCACTCCAAGACAATGGACTTTGACATCTGTGGATTCACGGAGACAGTGCCTGGGGAGAGAGGATGAGGAAGAAGGTGGAAGGGTGGTGGAAGGGCACAGAGTAGGGGCAACACCCCAAGGGCCCTGGTGTTACCAGGGTCATCATCCCAGTCTGAGCCAGACCCACCCCAAGCCTCAAACCCCAGGCCCAAGAGAAAATAAATCCTGGATACAGCTACATGCTCTGCTGGGAGCAAGGCCCCGGGAACCATCTAGGAAAGGACACAAAGACCTCCTGCCTTAAGTGGAGAGACGTAGGGGAGGAGCTGCTCCAGCAGGAAATGCCAGAGCAGAGTGGCAACAATAGCAGGGTTTCTTTGGCCCCTGTTTTCTTTGGCCTCTTAGCTGCCACGGAGTCCTTGGCTTTCCTCCGGGCCCCTCCCCTCAGCCCCTGCCTGAACAACTGACAGAGGAGGTACCTGTTCTCTCTCTGCTACATCCTCCAGCCCGGAGCCTTCCCTCCAGCTTAGCATCACAAAGAACCCACAGTGAGCTTTTAAAATTATAATCACAACAAAAGGAAACTTTACAGAGCTTTATTCGGTAGCAGGCACAGTGCTAAGGGCTTCCCAAGCACACGTGTGGGGGATGGAATGGTCTTCAGTGCAGCTCCTCTCACGGGCTCCGGGGGTGGGTCCCCACCCCTCCTCCAAGAACTGGAGAGCCCTCCAGCCTTATTCCCCACATGCCAAACCTGGGGATGGGAAGAGGGAGGGATGAGAGGGACAGAGGAGAGATTGGACACTGGAAGAAAATGTCACCCAGTCCAGGTCTGGGGGATTTGACTTTGAGTGGACAGTAAACGACCATGTGTAAGACAGACAGACATGGAAAATGACGCAGAGACAAAGAAAAGTACCGAAATATCAAGAGGCCAAGGAAAGGTGAGCGAGAGAGAGGAGATAGAAAGTGAGAGATGAACAGAGAGATCGAGAGACAGAGAGGGACAGAGAAGACAGGAAGACTAAGACTGGAAAAGAAAACGAGAAAAAAAAAAAAAAAAAAACCCAGAAATGGAGAGTGTGAGAGACACAAAGAGGAAAAGAGGGACCTAGTGCCTAAGACAGAACGAGAGAGCGGGAGATTGAGAGAGCGACCATGACAGAGACTGGAGGAGAAACAGAGGAGAGGCAGACACTGAAAGTGGGAGAGAAAACAACCTGAGTGAGGGTTTGAAGGAAGAGGAGAATAAGAAGGGAGGAAACGGGAGAGAGATGGCGGGAAGCTTCTGGCAGGAACGCAGGAGAGGCCAAGACGGGGCACGGGAGGCCAGAGGCGCGCCTGCACCCCCCGCGAGCGCCTGCACCCTCCCCGCACGCCGGCTCCAGCATCCAGAGTTCCAGGACAAAACCGAGCCCGGTCGTGCCCTCGCCCTCCTATCTACAAGGTGAACTCCCCCCCCCACCCGCCCCCAGCAGGGACTCGAGGGGATCCCCAAGAGGGCTGCGTCCCTGGAGAGGCTGGAACGGATGTCCGGAGACGGCACAGAGGGACCTTCTCTCCTCGGGCTGCCTCCTCCTCCTGGGACCGCCCGGCCACTGGGCATCGAGGATTGACAAGCGCCGGGCAGGCTGGCACGGCGCCTACTTTTCCCAATGCCCGGGCTCTCGCCCGGGAGACCGGTCGCGCCCGGGGAGAGGCCCTCGAAGGCCGGAACCCCCAACAAGGGTCAGCCTGGCCTCCCGCCCCCACCCCCGCCAATGCGGGAAGGAAGTTGAGTGGCATTGACCTCAGAGAAGCGTATCACTTCTGCGCAGCCTGGCGTAAGTCCGGGTCAGGATGCCTGCCTGGGTCGCAGGAGGAAAGGTAGGAGCTGGACCTAGAGCCCGAATCGGAGAAAAAGGGAAGGCCAAGGACGGAGATAAAGGCCGGAGTTCGGACGGGGGAGCCCAGACCGAGCAAGACCTCTCAGAGAACCCGGTCAGAGGGACGAACTCTCGGAGAGAGCGCGGGAGCCGCCGGAGCGCACCATGCGCGGGTCCCCTGCCTGGCCCTTCAGCCCCGCCGCCTGGGTCACGCGGGCCGGGCGGGCCCGCGGCTGCCGCTCCGGGGGGGCTTGCGATAGACCGCGGGCCGACGTTCCGCCCTGCTCGCGGCTCTGGCCGCCGCGCGCGGGAGGCGCCCCCTGCCCCCCGCGCCTGGCCCACTCCGGGCGGCCCTCCCAGTATATAGCGCACCCCTGCAGGGCCCGCCACAGGCCACCAGGCGGGGAGTAGACGCGAGACAGAGCGCAGAGCCTGGGAGCCAACTCCCCGCTCCCGCCCCCGCCGCCCCGAAGGGCGCCCTGCGCTGCAGCTGCCGCCGGGCCCCCGCGGCCACCATGAAGAAGGAGGTGTGCTCCGTGGCCTTCATCAAGGCCGTGTTCGCGGAGTTCCTGGCCACCCTCATCTTCGTCTTCTTTGGCCTCGGCTCAGCTCTCAAGTGGCCATCGGCGCTGCCCTCCATCCTGCAGATCTCGTTGGCGTTTGGTCTGGCGATAGGCACCCTGGTCCAGGCCCTGGGGCCTGTGAGTGGAGGCCACATCAACCCCGCCATCACCCTCGCCCTCTTGGTGGGCAACCAAATCTCGCTGCTCCGTGCTGCTGTCTACGTGGTGGCCCAGCTAGTGGGAGCCATTGCTGGGGCCGGCATCCTCTACGGGGTAGCACCAGTCAATGCCCGGGGCAACCTGGCTGTCAACTCCGTGAGTGCCCACAGGGCTGGGGGTGGGAGCTGGGACCCTGGCAGTGGGCTTTGGGTCAGGCAGTGCCCCATCTTGAGAATGGGTGCGACAGAGGGGGCCAGTGCACACCGTGCTAAACCAAACCAAACCAAACCCAGTCTTCCAGTCGATTCTAACTCATAGCAACCTTATAGGATGTTGTAGAACTGACCCACAGGGTTTCCAAGGAGCAGCTGGTGGATTCGAAGGGCCAACCTTTTGGTTAGCAACCAAACTCTTAACTACTGTGCCACCAGGGCTCTGCACCAGTGCTAGGAAAGCCCAAGACCAGAAAGATGAATCTACAAGTCTGTGTGTGCCCCCCACTCAGCCTCCCCCGGTCCATGTCCACACTCCTCTGCCCCCTTCCCTCATGCGACCCCATCCTAGCCTCTCTCGTGGTGCCTACTGCCCACTCCTTTCCTGCCTTTACTCCTATCTCACTGCTGAGTTTTATCTTCCTGGGATCCTCTCAGCTCTCCTCTCCGCTCTTCAGTGGAGTGGTGTAATGGAACCACCAGAGAGAGGTGGGTTGTAATCCTGGCTTTGGGTGACCTTGGCTTCTCTGTGCCTCATTTTCCTCAGTCATCCCATGTTGTTATCGGGTGCAGTGAAGTCAATTCCGACTCACAGCGACCCCCCATGTGACAGAGCAGAACTGCCCCGTAGGGTTTTTTAGGCTGTAATCTTTACAGGAGCAGATTGCCAGGTCTTTCCCTCTTGGAGCCAGTGGGTGGGTTCAACTGCCAACCTTTCGGTTAGCAGCCGAGAGCTTAACCTTTTGCACCAGATGATCATACCTCCCATAGCAGGTGTCGAGGAGGTTACATTTAGAACCCCCAGATATGGTGCCAATGCCTAGGGGTCTCTGTTGAATATTGGTTCCCCACCTCCCATCCTAGCCCTGCCTCCCTGCTGCCTCCCTCCTCCCAAAGCCCCAGATTCAGCCCTGACGTCCCACACAAACTGGGTTCATTAATCAAACACAAAGGAGGATTTTCTTGGCCATTGTCAAGCCGTGAGTCAGCCGCATCAGAGAGACAGGTTTGAGGTTGGCACCAGCAGTGGGTCAGGCACAGGCGGGAGGCCTGGGTGGGGGTGCGGTAGGCAAACTGGGCAGCTGCCCACAGGAGGGAGAGTGAAATGCCAGCTTATGGAAGTTGGGGATTGGGCAGAACTGTTGACAAGACTGTGACAAGCTCTGCTCTTTGGCCACAGGCCTGAGTGTCAAGCTTTGTGCGGACTGTAAAGTACATAATGCCTTCTGCCAATGGCTACCCTGAGGTGATGTGTGCAGGGCTTGGTTGTGCTGACAGTATGGGGTCTAAGAGGGCAGGGTGCTGTGGGGTCCTTACCCACCCTCCCTGCGCAGCTCAACAACAACACGACGTCGGGCCAGGCCTTGGTGGTGGAGATAATTCTGACCTTCCAGCTGGCACTCTGCATCTTCTCCTCCACTGACACCCGCCGCACCAGCCCTGTGGGGTCCCCGGCCCTGTCCATTGGCCTGTCCGTCACACTGGGCCACTTCGTGGGGGTGAGCAGTGTTGCTACCTCAGGTGGGGTTAGGGGGAGCCACTCAGGACAAATAAAGGGGACCTTTGGGCAATGAGCACAAAAGACTTTAAGGCCTAGATTTGGGGCCACTGGACCCTGGCCCTAGTGGGCCAGGCTTGATCACAAAAAAAAAAAAACTTCCTTAGCTTAGGAGAGAGAGAGAGAGTGAGTGGGATGGGGTGGGAGTGGGAACAGGGAGTTAAGCCCAAGCTCAGGACAGAGAAGAGAGGAGGGGATAGGGTGGGGGCCATGGTTAACAGGGCAGCTAGGATCCATGGAGGAAGTGGTTGCCAGCTTAAGAAACGGGAGACTTGAGTCTGAGATCTAGCTGAGCCCTGAGCTGCTTGGGAAAGTCCTGGGCCCATATGAGTGGATAAGGACCTTGCCCACCTCATCACTTCCCTTTTTCTATTCAGATCTACTTCACTGGCTGCTCCATGAACCCAGCCCGCTCCTTTGGACCTGCAGTAATCATGAATCGGTTCGGCCCTGCGCACTGGGTGAGCCTGGGCCCTCCCCCAGATCCCTGTGATGCAGGTCCATGGCAGCTGAGAGCTAACTGGGCTTTCTGGTTGCTGTGGACCCAGAGCCTGGGGCTGGGGCCCAGGGAGTGGTGGTTGGAGAGAGAAGGGGACACAGTAGGAGATAGCATGTGGCTGGAGCAAGGGCAGGGGTGGGGTTATATGGCTTGAGCCCCAGAGGACAGGGACCTTGGTGGGGGGAAGGGGTCTGTGTGTCTGTCCCTCTGGGGAAGGGGGTTTATACTTGTATCAATCTCCTCTGAGGATTCTGTTTGTCCCTCTGGGGTCTGTATATCTGTCCTCTCTGGTGTTTTGTTTATCTATCCTCGTTGAAGGTTGAAGGTGTTGGAAGAGTCTTCCTGTGTGTCTGTCCCTCTGAACAATCTGCCACCTCCTTTGAGAGCTTATGTCCTCCCTCTCCAGAGTCCGTGTCTGTTTTTCTGTCTCTGAGGATCTGAAGGTCTCTGAAGGTTCATTTGTCTCTCTTCGGGGTGTGGTTGGAACGGACCTGTCCCTCTGGGAATCTGTCTCTCTCCTCTGGATTCCTGTCCCTCTGTGGTCCATGTCTTAGTCATTGGGGATGGGGGGGAGGGTCAGCATATCTGTTCCTGAGGTGGGAGGAGGTTTTTCCCTCTGGAGGTCTGGAAGTCTGTCTCCTTTGAGGATCTGTGGGTATGTCCTCTGGTCTCTAAGGCCTGGAACCCAGCCCGCTGACCATGGCCTTGTCTCCACCAGGTGTTCTGGGTGGGGCCCATTGTGGGGGCTACCCTGGCTGCCATCCTCTACTTCTACCTGCTCTTCCCCAACTCCCTGAGCCTCAGTGAGCGTGTGGCTGTGGTCAAGGGCACGTACGAGCTGGAGGAGGACTGGGAGGTGCATCGGGAGGAGCCGAATAAGACCATGGAGCTGACCGCCCATTGAACAGCTTCGGGCAGGGACCTGCCCCCAGCCCCTGAACACAGGGGAAGAAAAGAAAAACATATGACAGCAAAGCTTTCTTCCCCCACAGCCAGGTTCTTTTGGTTGGGGAAGAGCTACTGGCTCCCCAGGCTGCACAGCTAGAGCTGGGTGCAGGGACCCATGGCAGGGCTCTCGGGGTGGGGGTGAAGGGCTGGAGTCTGGTGGGGAGGGTGTCTCTCTGGAACAGAGCAGACTGCTGTTGTGAGGTCAGACCTCAGAGATTGAACGTAGCAGGAAGCTCCCAGGCTGCCCCAGGGCCAGGCCAGGAAGGGGTGGCCTATAGTCTGCTCTCCCCACCCTCCTCAGCTCTTCCTCAAAAGCCAGAGGGATTGCAGCCCTTGTGACAGCAGAGACAGGTAGACCCTCCCCTAGATCTCCTGAGGAGGAACACAGACTGGTTCATTGAATGGTGCCTTATTTATTTCTGATCAAAGATGAGTGGGGTAGGGCTACTGGTGTTTGAGGTGCAGGCTTCCCAATAAATCACTGATACTCAGATTCTGCCTTTGTCTCACTCCAGAAGCTTCTTGAGACGCCCTGGCTCATCACCTCTCTTCTTTGTCATCCCACCCCTCCCCTCAATCTCCACAGGGCACAAGGGAACCCCAGGACAAGTTCTCTGTGGGAAGACTGGGAAACTGAGGATAAGGGAGTCCTAGAAAGTCAGAGGGATGGGGGAGAGAGAGGAGGAGACAGTGGAAGCAGAGGAAGAGGAATCCTTGCCCATGTCACTCACCACTCACCGCTTCTACCTCAGCTATGTCAAGTCTCTGCCACTTGAGAGCCTGGCACCAGCACCAAGGTGTGCCAGGCAGGGTGGAGAAAAAGTTGACCAGCTGGCAGTCCCTTGAGATGCTAAGACGGTGACCTGCTAGGTTCTGTCATTGAAGGGGAGGCACTACCCTAGATTCCTTTCTCTGCACCTGGAGATCACAGAAGGTGCCGTTTTGGAAGCCTGTACTCAGAGGGAGCACCTCTCCACACGCGCACACACACACACACACACACACAC